GGAGATACTGGTGAATTCCAGAATGGGGACACGCTGCATTGATTTCTTGATCCTCAGCCCAAATGCCTCTTGTCGGCCCCGACTCAGGAAGGGCTTCGCCATTCACCCTATTTCTTCCATATGATACTGGGGTCTGCCCTTAGCCCTTCCGTTTTTCTCACCCCTTACCAGGCAGCTACAACACACAGGGTTCTATCCATTTGATAAATGCACCCCTGACCCCCCAGAACCACCTCCGTCCTCTCGTCTCCAGCCCACAGCATCTTTCCTCCACGGCACCTCCCAGTGGCCTCCTGCCTGTCCCCTCTCTCCCCGAGCCAGTCACCACAGGAGCCCGAGGGGTTTCCTAAAAAATCTGTATTAATCTTGCCCCTTTTCCTCGAATGCCTTAATGGCTTCTCATGACCCATTAGGGCAAATTCCCAGCCTCCTCCTCCTCTTCCTCATTTGCTCTCTGTTTTGGGGCCACACCCAGAGATACTCAGGGGTTACTCCTGGCTCTGCGCTCAGGGATCACTCCTGGCGGGCTCCAGGGACCATAGGGGGCGAACCCGGGTTGGCCATTAGCAAGGCGAGCCCCCCACCGGGTGTACTAACACTCTGGCCTCTCTTTTCTTTCCCTTTCTTTACCTCTCCATCATGCTTTACCGCCAGTTTCCTCTTCCCTCCACTACTGTCTTGGGGTGTTCCCCTCCTCCACCCCGACCCCAGATCCTCTTTTCACATTGAAGGTGGGTGAGAATTGGGGCGGGGGGGGGGGGGGGCTTTTCATAAACAGGCTCTGGGCGTGGAGGGGGGCTGTTCTGCGCCCTCAGTAGGAGGCGAGGGACTGAGGAGCAGGGAGGGGGCAGCAGGGTCCGCACCCCTGGGCTCAGGTTCCCCCTCCCCCCACCCCCTTCTGATTCCGTGGCTCCTTCTCAGGAATGTCCAACCCCGAAGTGATCCGGTCCCTGGAGCGCGGCTACCGGATGCCGCGCCCTGAGCACTGCCCGGAGGAGCTCTACAACATCATGGTGCGCTGCTGGAAGAACCGCCCCGAGGAGCGGCCCACCTTCGAGTACATCCAGAGCGTGCTGGAAGACTTCTACACGGCCACCGAGAGCCAGTACCAACAGCAGCCGTGAGCCCCGAGCACCTGCACGGCCCAACAAGCCAGCTGCCCTGGGGCCCCCGGTGCACCCCGGCCACGGCGCCCCCTGCCGGCCCAGTGGGGCCATTACGCAGGGCAATCCTTTTGGCTCTGAAATCAAGTCTGCGGACAATCTCTCTTTGACTCTTGCAATCCACAAGCTGGGGTCCTCAGAAGACTCCGAGTTGATTTTTCTATTGCCTGGGACAGCCGGAACGGATTCTGGTTCAGTTCATGCCTTGCATGGGAAACTTTAAAGAAAATGGGGGAAAAAATAAAAGATATGATTGCCAAAGGCTTTACTGTGGACTCTCTGTCCATTTGCTGGACCACCAGTCAGAAAGCGGGACGGAGTCTTCCAGAGACCAGTAGTCTAATGAGTGAGGTCCCATGCTTGCAGCTTCCTCACTGACCCCAAATTATCACTTTCCTATAGCTGCTGGAATCACCGCAAACTTGGTGGGGTAAAGCAACACAGATTTAGGGGCTGGAGAGATAATATTGGGGCTAAGGTGCTTTCCTTGCATGCCTCCAACATGGTGCCTAGTTTGATCCCAGGCACCCAGGAGTCACTCCTATGCACAGAGCCAGGAGTAACCCCTGAGCAGCACTGGGTGCTTATAAATAAATGTTATAGCATCAAAGTAACACAAATGTTTCAGCTGTCAGTTTCAGAGGTCCAAAGTCCACAGTGGGTTGGCAGGGCCCTTTGACAAGACTCTGGGAAGAATCCTTTCTGTGTGGCCTGGAGGCAAAGTCCTTTCTATGCATTACTCCAAACCGTCTGTCACCTTTCCTTCTCGGACTCTGATCCTCTTGCCTCCTTTCACTTCTAAGGACCCACCTGGCTAACCCAGTCTACCCTTTCGTTCTGGAGACACACAATCATACCGAGACATTCCTTTGGATAGCAATATTTTTATAGGGTCCAGGGATTAGGACACTGACATTGCACAGGGCACTGCATGGGGTTCTTTGCCACCTGGGAGCTGGCTCTGCTGGAATGCTAGGTGTGAGTTCTCATGATTGGGGACCCTGCCTCTTCTGCAAAGCCAAGGCATGGCACTATGCAAACAGGTTGGTACAGATCAGTTCTAGGGCTGGGGACTTCGACCACCAGCAGGCAGGCACTGTGGTTGGGAAGCTGGCATCCACATCTGCAAGGGTCCTGTGGTACGGAGGTGAGGCTGCTGAGGGATGGCTGATACCCTGCATAGGAAGCTCAGTGGAAGGGAGGAAGCAAAGAAGACAGATGCACCTGCCCTTCAAAATTATCAGTGTTGGCCAGGGCGTTGGCAAGAAGGAAGGAAGGAGGAACAGATGGAACATAGGGCACTTCTGAGAAGTGAAACTCTTTTGTCTGACATTCCTAATGGTGGATCACATCTTTGTAACCTGTAAAACTAACTATATGTAAATTGGGTTTATAATATAGTGAACCATAATGTAAATCATGGGCTTAAGTCAGTAATAATACCAACTGTAACATATATGTACAATTTTACCCATGAAGATAAAAAAATGATAGCAGAATAAAGGGAAGGGCCTGGAGAGGTATCTGGGAACTTTGTACTTTCCCGTCATTTTTCTTTTCTTTTTTTTGGGGGGGGGTCACACCCATCAGTGCTCAGGTGTTACTCCTGGCTCTGCACTCAGGAATTACTCCTGGCGGTGCTCAGGGGACCATATGGGATGCCGGGGATCAAACCCGGGTCGGCCACATGCAAGGCAAATGTCCTACCCACTGTACTATAGCTCCAGCTCCGTTTCTAGTCATCTTTCAACAAACCCAAAACTGCTCTAAAAATGAAAAACATAGCAATAAACCTTTGTTCTTTTTGTTTATGTTTTTGGGCCACACTGGGCTGTGCTCAAGGCTTAGTCCTGGCTCTATCCTTAAGGATCCCTCTGAGTGAGCTTGGGGGCTATATGGAGTTCCAGGGATCAAATGAGGGTCAGGCACATGCAAGGCAAATTATTGCTCTGTCCCCAACAACAATAAGTCTTATGCTAACCATTCTATAGGAAACCTGAGTGCACTTACTCCCTGAAAGATGGCAAGGGAGGGCTAGGGTGGGGTGCCCCCTCTAAGATCTGGGTAGCTGTGTCCATCTAACATCTAGCTGTGGTCTTGAGCTTAAATATTGAGAAAGCACTTGTTTCATTTATTCCCTATGGTTTAGAATAAAATTGCCTTCCTCTTCCACCTGGGCTCTCAGTTTTGTCATGTATTCTGATGGAAGGCTGTATCACTTTGCATTCTCTTTGCAGCCCTTCCTTTTAGAAGTTGGTAGTATATGAAGTTATTTCTCTATCCACATCCCCCATTCTTTTAAAGCAATAGAAATTTTTTTCATTCAGAGTCATGTGACTATCCAGAATGACAGTGACACGTCGTGTTCCCTCTTGCAGTGAAGTATGGGCACACGTGAGTAATTTCCACTCAATGAGCTATAAGTGGAGGTTAGTGTGGTAATACCAACCAGGATCCATTCTTAAAAGAGGACTAATGGGGGGCGGTCATTGAACTTTTCTCATTTCTTTCTCTATCTTGCTTCCTCTCTTTTGGGGATATTATCTGTGCTGCTGATCATAAGGCTAAGTGTATGAGTTACAAGAATTAATAGGTATGTATTTTAATGGTCCATTGCTGCATGAGAACCTTCTGCAAAATCTGACACTACTGGACTCACCTGAGCAACTTTTCTGCGCCACATGCTGTTGGATGAGGTTATGAAACTGACTGCATTCAGCTGATGGGTCAGCATAGTTTGTTATATCCAAGATGCCTTCAATCACATGGCTAGTGCTCAGGTGGCAATGCTGGAAGAGCTAGTTATTATCCAGCATTATTCTGAATAATAAAACTGTTCAAAAACTGTTTCTTTTAGAACTAGTTGCATATATTCCTGGTACTGTATCCATAGAGAATCAAGCCATGGACCAAATGAACTTTTCAAGACTCTTCCAATTTTAATATCAAGATTCCTTGAGTTTCCTTTCAGGGGGATTGGAAACTGAGGTTTAGGAAGGTGCACTTAACTAGCACATGGTGAGGTTCCCATTCAAAGATGTCTCCTTCCACTACCTACCACACGGTTCAATCATTTAAGAGTGTATTGGGGGCAGAGCAATAGTACAGGGGCTAGGACTTGTGTGCCTTGCACGTGGCCAACCCAGGTTCGATCCCTGGCATCTCATATGGTTCCCGAGCAACGCCAGGAGTAACCTTTGAGCATCGCTGGGTGTGACCCAAAAAGCCAAAAAGAAAAAAAAAAGTCTATTGGGCACCTACTATGTGCACAAAAGAGTATAAAGGAGGAATCTCTTATAGGCATATAAGTTATTTATTAAATGCATTCTACTGGAATGTTCGCTCATTGGAACCTCATCTTAAGCCTACGACAAAGGCATTGATGTCATTATACAGATGAGAGTGCGGTAGAGTGAGGTTGAATAAAAGTCAAGCTTCTATCCGCATGCCATCGGAGAGGCTACCGGATGGCCATGCAAAGACTGAAAATTCTCGAGTAGGGCAGTCCTGGGAGCCCTGGTACCGATCCCAGCCTCCCCAAACCTGGGTCCCGGGTAACCTTGGCAACGGGTCTTCCTGCCAGTAGTAAAAATGGCGCCCAGAGCACACGCCCGCTTACACCCCCGCATTCCCCACAATGCAGTGGACGCGTAGGGGAGGCGCAGTCCCTGCCAGGAGTCACTATGGTTCCCGTGGCGACCCCTGTCCTCTCTCTCCACGTCCTCGCGACCTGACGGCCCGCGTCCAGCGCCCGACGAGCGGCAGGGCCAGCCTCCCCGCGCCCGGCGGGCCGCGCCGCCCGCATCGCCGACTCCGGGCATCTCCGACCACTTCCGCTGACGTCACCGCGGCGACACGTGGATCCAAGATGGCGGCGGCGATGGTGAGTGAAGGAGACTCCGGGAGCCGGAGCCCGAGCGGGGCGCCCTCCGGGGGGTCCCCAGGCGTGCGGGGGGGCCCCGGGCCTGGCCCGAGCCCTCCCCCACGCCCGCGACTCGGGCCTGCGGGACGCCCCCGACCAGACTTCCCTCCCGTGAGCCCCGTCTCGCGGCCTCGGCGCCGCTCTCCGGCCTGTCAGGGCCTGGAGTTAGGAGGGAGGCTCCGGGTCGGAACCGCGAGCCCCGCCGCCGCCTTGGCCGGTTCCTAGTCCTGCTCCGGGCCCCGCCCCCGGCGAGCCCGGTTCCCCAATTTCCCCTTCCCAGCCCTGCCCCTTCCGAAGAGCCCCCCAACCCCCCTCTCAGCCGCCTTGGTCCTCCCCCTCGCTCCTCCGGCATCACTTCCAGACCCTGTGCCCGTCACCCCCCGCCTCCCCACCGTCCGGCCGGTCGGCTCCTGCGACCCCTCTGCTGACCACCCCCCAGCCTCAGCCCCGCCTGATCCCATCCGGGACGCCGCCCCCGCCCCTCCCCGCCGCCGGCCGCACGCGGTGGGGGCTGGGGTCTGGCCTGACTGTCGCGGACCCGTAGCATGTTCTCATCACCTCGGCGCCGTCGTCCCCAACCCTGTCTCTGGTCTCCTCTCTGCCTCCCTTCTTGGGGAGGTGTTACCCCAAATCAAACTTTACTATGCATTAGATTTGGAGGGGGAGGTCCTTTTTCTATTTAAAATGCAGTTTCCCCGAGCCCCACTCCCAGGGATTCGCCGGCCGGGTGATGCCCAAAGGTTTTATACTTTTTTTTTTTTTTTAAACAAGCACTACTGAGATCTCTTGCCTCTGGTCTGAAGGACGCCTGGAAACACCCCTTCCCAGCTTTGCCCTGGCGCGCGACCATCGTTTTGGTGGGAGGCCACTGGGTCAGCAGAGAACCCTCGCTTCTGCCTTGGTCTCTGCCTCTGGTGCTGTCACCTAGACATCATCGTGGTGTTGGTCCGTGCAGGACCTCGTGCATAACGCCGCCCAGGGGCTTTCCCTTCTGACAGCTCTGTAGGAGCTCAGCCCGTCTGGGTTGCAGGCTCCTTAGCAAGAAGCACCGAGTGCATAGGTAGGTTTGCAAGGTGAAAGCTATGCCCCAGAGTGGGTCAGACCAGGCTGCCTACTGGTATTGAACCCAGGAAGTAGACCCGGGAAGGACTTCTCTTCCGGAAGTTCAGTTTGCCCGCATTGTGGCTGTCAGAAGACCAGAACCACCGTTCAAGTCTCTTAGCCCAGAGTCACAGCCTGCCCTTCCTGTGTGACTTCCGACAGATCATTTTGTTCTGGGAGGGAATGCAAAGGAAGATGGAGAGAAGAGGAAGTGGCATTGACCTTAGCAAAGGGAAATTCTTTGTTTCAATTCCTTTGGAATTGGTTTTCTCCATAACCTGACTCCAGTAGGAACTGATAACAGGTTGTCCTAGTTTGGTGAGCGTGTGCTTATTTAGAATCTAACCTCGTAAGTCAGGGTAGCATCATGGGCTTGCCTGGTTTCTAAGTTTTGGTCTGAACCGCAAGTGGGAGAAAAAGTCCCCAAAGTGTTTTGTTGAGACCCAGTTCTTTATGTGGAGCACCTTCAGGACAAGGATGGCGTAAAAATGTAATAGGGAAAGTCACAATTTTATTGCCATGGGGACAAGTTCAATAAAATGGCATTTATCTCACTTTGCTGGGAAGTTCCTGCCCTATTTCTGGTACACATTTGCTTAATCAACAAATATTTGAGTCCCTGCTCTCTGCCAGGACCTAGAGATGTAGTTGTGAACTAGAGGTTCAAGGTCCTCATCCTGGGGAATTTTTTCTATCTGAAGAGACAGGCAGTGGGGGCTGGAGCAATAGCACAGCGGGTAGGGTGTTTGCTTTGCGTGCAGCTGACCCGGGTTCGATCCCCAGCATCCCATGGTCCCCTGAGCACTGCCGGGGTAATTCCTGAGTGCAGAGCAAGGAGTAACCTCTGTGCATCGCCGGGTGTGACCAAAAAAAAAAAAAAAGGCAGTGAACAAGTAAATACATAAAAAAAAAAATGTCAGTGGTTAGTCCCATGAATACAGAGAAGTGAAATGTTGTAGTGGAGGCAACATTAGATTAACTGGTCAGAGAAGGTGACATGAATTGAGACTTGACTGACAAAAAGGGTTCAGCAATAGGAACTAGAAGTGAAAGGGAAATAGGAAATGTGCAAAGGAAAGGGAAGAGGAAAGGGCAGAGGCGGGAATGAGCTCGGTATGTCCCAGGAACTAAACACTGAGGCACTGATGCAAGGAGTGAGGGTGGGAAAAAATGATATCAGATAAAATTGGAGAGAAATTGGAAGTTTGTTTCCAGCCGTGCCTTGAATTGTGGCTGACTGGAGTCCGCAGTGTGTAGCCTGGACTGGGTTTTGAAGTACACCATTCAACTTGAGTGTTTCCCGGAACGGAACGTTGGGTGAACTGGCTTTTTCTCAGCCTGCAGTGAGGCCAGAGAAAGGCTTCTGGAGCTTATCCTAAGGATAGTGATTTTGTCTCGTCTCGGGCTCATTATACCCTAATTTTATGGGTAACGGATTTCCAGAAATTGAGGAGGGAATTTGTACGGTGAGCCACAGAGGCCATTTTAAAGAGCACACATGAGAAACTCGGTGCTTGATACAATGGTGTACTGATGCAAAGACGTGGAAGCAAGTTTATTAAAGTTTATTACGTGGGGAAGCGGGAGCAGGATATGTCATTTGAGATTGGTCTTGATCAAGTACTTAATTTTACCGGCGTCGGAGCCCTCTGACATTTGGCTATTTAATGAGGGATAGAGGTGTGTGGACCTGCTTTGGGGTGTCTGGGTTTCTTTTTTGTTTGTTTTGGGGCCACTCTCGGTGATATTCAGGGTTTGCTCCTGGCTCTGCGCTCGGGTCACTCCTAGAAGGCTCAGGGGCTGATGCCCTACCCGCTGTACTACTGTTCCGACCCTCACTGGGTTTCTGAGGCAAGTTATCCAGCCAGAGAGGAACTGAACTGGTAGATTCAGTCACTGTGGGAACGTGCTAGGTTTGGGGTTTGCGCTTTTGTTTTGAGTTAGGGCTGTGACTGCAAGTTTCAAGTGGTATTTATGGTCTTTTATCCTCCTTGCCTATCTCTAGTGGAAGGCTTTTCTTCCTGGGGGCTGGTCTGCAACCTCCCAGGTCTGTGTTAGCTCTTGGGGTGTTTCCTGAACCTGCAGGGCAGGCCTTCTACCCAAAGAGATGACTGTCAGTTGAAGTACCCCCTTGTTTCCTATTTTCTTCCAGCATTGGATTTAGACAGCTCTCTCAGATTACAGGATATGGAGTTACTCTAGCTGGGCCTGGGGTGAGAGGCAGGCTGGTGAGAGAGGTCTCTATGAAAATGTTGTGTGTATTCTGCATGCTCTTGAGAGCGGAACTTGGTAAGGAGTCATTGAATGCATTTGTAGGCATCTCAGGGGTATAGAAACCTCGATTCAGAGATTAAAATTGTACTTACATATATCTTTGTTCATACCGTTTGGGGTTATGTTACCTTTGTTAATCAGTTGTAATACTTATACCCTGAAACTCGCCATTTAAAGTACACAGCTCAGTAGTTTTTAGTTTATTCCCTAAGTTGTACAACCATCAGCACTTTCGACTTCCAGAACATTTTTATCACCACCAAGAGAATATTAGTAGTCACTTCCTACTCGTTCCTCCCCAGCTCCTGGCAGTTATTAATTACTTTTTAGTTCTGGATAATGGAATAAATTTATAAATGGAATGACACATTATGTGGTGTTTTGTATCTGGCCCTTTTTTTTTAATTAGCAAAGTATAATCTTTTCCACATTCATCCACATTCATGGGAGCCTCTGTCAGCACTGGACTCCCTTTTATGGCCATGTGTGTTCTATCTGTGTTTAATCCATTCACAGGTAAAGGGTTTGGGCTTGTTTCCATGTTGGGCCTGTTATCTGTAATGTTGCTTGAACATTGATGTGCAAGTTTCTCTGTGAATATAATGTTCTTATTTTCTTGATTTTATCCCTAAGAGTGTGGGTTGCTGAGTCACATCACATTCTTTTTTTTTTTTTTTTGGCTGGGTGGGGCAGGGGCAATGCTGGGGGCTGCTCCTGGCAGTCCTGAAGATTGGGCCTGGGCCTCCCACATGATCCATCTGTGTTTAGCCCTCTGAGCGCTCTCTCCAGCCCCATGCTTTGGCTTAGTTATATTACACATCCCACTGTTTTGAGGTGTTTTGGTTTGATACACATGGGCCCGGAGTGTCACCTGACAGATCCTTTGAGTAGATGGAGTCAGTGCTAAGCAGCCCCCTGGCCCTAGTCAAAAACACCTAAACTGTTCTTAGTGATGGAATGTGGACGGTCGAGTCCTGGCTGACCCAGGGTGGCAGGAGTGGGCTCAGCCGCACACAGCCACTTGGGGGGAGGGGCTGTCTCCTCCACATCTCCAGTGGCATGGGCCTCGGCCGGTGGGGTAGGAGAGTGGAAGTAGGAGTCATCGTGGTAATCTTTGTCCCAGCACCAGCACAGTTCACCATGTGGCCCGGGAGAGTTGGTTTCCGCGCGTCATATTGGAGATTAAGGTTTGGGCTTGATGGTTTTGGAATTTCGGGTTGAAAGTGCTGTGGTTTAGGAGTACGTGCTCAGTGTCTTTGGCTAATCGGCCCGTAAAATCGCGCCGATGTGGTTCCTCGTGCTCGGTCATCGCACCGGTGAGCTTTCCCAGTGACGTGGGCTGGTCGTGTTTCCTTATCCCTCATACACTGCAGGCGCCCCTGCCCTTGAAGCTGGGCTGCCTTCAGAAACAGGCTCCTCTCTGGCCTCTCTGAGGGAGGGAGTGCCCCCCATGCCTCCTTTCTGGGAGCACAGAGAAGGCAGAGACAGCACTTCAGGAACTCCTAATTTCTCTTTTACAATGCAAACGGAAGTTCCCCTTTGATCCTGGCTCCAAGGAAGAAGGAAGCTTGTCAAGACTGTTGTGG